ATAAAAAAATTACGGATGCACCATGCAGGTACTATTCCAACATTCCTGTTATGGAAACCCAGAGAAGAAGATGACCTAAAACCAGTTAAAAGTGCGTAACTCGAGCTTGTTAAAAGGAAGGAAATGGCAGAAGAAAAATCCAAGAGCTGGGCTCTCAATAGCTATCTTGGAGATGGCGATGGAGTCGAGAGGACACTGACACGGGCCTCGCATGGAAGCACTGTCACCTTCCCAACCTCTCACATCAGCCCCTCTACGTGTCCTAATCTCACAATACTTGCACAACCTGAAGACCAACCAAAACCACCATTCATGTCGCGCTGACCTTTCTCTTGTCCTTTCACTCCTCACCATTCCATACAGAAATGTACACCTCCTGCTGCTTAGCCCTCGCTTTCCCATAAGGCACTTATTAGGGAATTTTCAACCAAACTTCAAACTCTTAATGGGGTTGTTGCATATCTCCAGCGAAACGATAAAACTTCAGCTATTTACTTGCCATGACATCAATATTGACGTTGCACTATTTTTGTGTCTCTACCTAACTTACCGAAGAACGCGCAAAAAGAAGAAAGAACGATACCTTCACAAAATTGGAGTTCGATTGGATGAATCACTGCATTTTTTTTAGTTTCATGGCATTTTGAAGTGAAAATAATGAGATTTTAGGTTGGGGATTGTCTTAAGCTGTGTGAAAATTAAGAAAAAAAATATAATAAATGTATTCTCACAAATAAAAAACAGCAGAGCTCGCCCAAAAGAGCAAAAGAACCCCTATCAATTAGAATACAAGAACTAGGAAAATAATGCACACAAGGCGACTAAATCTCAATGGCAGGACTCAGAATTTAAAACAATTTAGTATCAACGCAGGTCAATAAAGAGGAACTGCTCCCTGGTAGCCCTAAACCGTCCTGGGAGAGAGGTTTGGAAATAATGGATAATCATCATGGTCCATAGCAAGCAAATATTGCACCAAACCATTAGAATTAAAATCGAAATGCAGCGCACAACACCATAGGATATTTTGAAAGGCCGGAACAGGTAGCAAGAAGCTCAAGCAAAGAGATAAATATATGATTTTTCCATGTAAAATTTCGAAAAATTATCCTGTAGAGGCCGGATGCAGAACGTCGTACGGAGACCAATCAGAATGCGTCACGTCAGCGATACCGAGCAATATTGAGCCGTGGTACCGAGTGAAGGGATGATGATGTGACGCATTCTGATTGATCTCCAAACAATATTCGACGTCCGCACAGAATAATTAATCCTTCCAGCATTGAAAACTAACATACCAGTACAAAAACCATTAAAAAAATGAACCAGAGCTTTAAAATTGATCCCATTCTTCCACTTGGAGACTTAAGATTGACTGAACTTTTTTATTTTGGGACAGGTAGTAGAAGTTTCAGTTTCCTATTATTTTTTTCCCTCAAAATATGATAAATAGTGCAGCGAATAATAAGAAAGAAAAAGATTTTTAGGGTCAGCAGTTGGAAAAACCAAATCACCAACGAAATCAAAGAACTGCAACAAACTAAGCCTCAAAAATATTTTTTTTAGCCCATGAATATGCTCAGCAATGACAGTAAAAGAATAATGACACTCAAATATCTGGCTCTTTCGCAGCTCATGCTTCTAATCCCTCCTCCCTATTACTCGTAAAACCCTTCTTGTTGAGAGAAACCCCTATTACAAATCCTTCCCTTTCTCCTTTATTCCACCCCAGGAAAAAGGTTGTTCAGTTTTCTACAGAAGATCCATGCTGCAGGCTCGTTGGAATGGGGTATGTCTCTTGAGGTTATTCGCTAGGTCATCATAATGAAGAGTTGTTAGCTGCCATCAAAAGTCTTAGCCCTTTAAAGGTAACATAAAATTACTCTCTTAGTGAGAGTTTATTTTTTTAAAGTTCTTGGTCCAAGAAGACTACGGTTTATTATTAGGTCCGGACATCTGACGTACGTAGCTCTACATTCGGACGCCAATAACATATTGCCACGTGCTCTTATACTTTACCACGCGGCCCGACGGCCCGGACCCGATATTGTTATGTATTGGTTGATTTATGCAGACCGGGGTATTGCTAGGTATTGCTCGGTATTGTTCGGTATTGATTGGTAATAACGAGAAATACCAAACTATCAAGACCAATACCTAGCAATACCGAGCAATACCCCAGTTTTGCTAGGTATTTCTCGGTATTGCTAGATATTGCTCGATATTGCTAGGTATTGATCTTGACAGAGCGGTATTTCTCGTTATTGTCAAGCAATACCTAGCAATACCAAATAATACCTAGCAATACCGAGTAATACCTAGCAATACCCGAACATAGCAATACCCGGTTTCAGTCTGGGTCGAGTCAACGCGGTAAAGAGTAAGAGCACGTGGCGACATGTTATTGACGTCCTGATGTAGAGCTACGTCAGGTGTCCGGATCTAATAATTATTCTTATCGTGGACTAGTGGCCCCTGATTTTTTTTTAGGAAACTATATGCATGGAACCCTTAATTCAGGTCAAAACATGATAATTTTTTATCTATACCCATGAGGGCATTTCAAAAATTGCCAAATTCATAGAAACCTCTCCATCGTAATTAAATTTTGCAAGGATTTCTATGTAAATCACAAATAAATATCCTCTTTGGAATATTATAAGTATTTCTCTGGATGGTGACCAACTTTTTTTAAATGTTCAATATGATTGGAAACATCTCTCATGAGATTATTGTGTTTCTTTTGCAAACCCCTGGACTGAGTGTCCTTCCAAAGATCTTTGCTCTCCTTCACAAACCACTACGTTTAACAGAATGTCTCGCGACGTGAGCACAAGCTGTAGATCGCCTCGTACTGCCCCTGCTTGTGTACATGTGAGGAAAAGATGACATGAGGTTGTTCAATTATTATTTAAAATAATGTACTTAATATGAAATTAAAAGTTTTATAATAATTGATTAAGATTAATATTTATTTAATATTATTTATATTAAAAAAATTTGAACCGGCCGGTTTTAAGAAACCCGGACCGGTTCGCCGGTTCCCCGGTTGAACCGGCGGTTCATGCCAAAACCGGCCGGTTCGATGCTAAGCCGGTTCTCAGGTTGAACCGAACCGGCTTTAAGACCGGTTCACGGTTGAACCGGTCGGACCGGCCGGTCCGGTCCGGTTTTTAAACCATTGTATTTTCTCCAACATCAAAGTCGTTGAGTTTTTGAAAAACAAGCAGGTTCCCTCTAGAATCCAACCGGGGCTTTACGGGAAGTTGTCGGGTTATTTTTTTAAATTATTTTTATTTATTCCAGTGAATTTTTTCAACTGGACAACTGCCGGAAAATTCTGCAGGAAAATTTTTCCGGGGATTTTTTTCAATTGAAAATTTTCGACGCTAGATTTACCATGGCAAAAGTTTTCGCCCGAAAATTTAAAAATCTGATGATAATACGCAATTTTCATGTAGTACCTCCTCTTCTGAGTCACCAAATGTAGCCAAGGTTTCCATTACAAATCTGAATTCTCTAGAAGCCAACATCTCTACTTCCCCTCCCCCTCCACTGAATGACGCCCCTCCAAACCCTTTAACATTATTCACAACTCATTTAAATGCTTACAAGACTCTACAAACTCATACTCATCAAGACACTTCAAATATCTCTTCTAAGATTGCTAAATCTACAAGAGCCAAAAGTACCCTACTCAAGCCTTCAAATCTCAATGATGTTCCCCAAGATTGCCTCTTGGAACATAAAGGCTTTAACAACCCTAAAAAATTTTCATAAATATCACCAAATTTTATAAGATTGATTTTCTTCGTATTGTAGAAGTAAAAAATAATTCTTTTTCTCTTGACAACCCCTAGTTTCAAGCGACTCCATGGCATAATTACTTTCAACAATTCTCTCACATTTGAGCTTTTTGTTAAATATGCATCTAATTCTTTAGAGGAAAAGATTCATATTTAGTATCAAATCAAAGCCTTGGCTTCCAATATTAATTGTCCTTCAATCATGATGGGTGATTTCAATTGCTGCAAAATTTCTTCTAATAAGTCTAATAGCAAGAACAATAGACTTTGAGACATATATAATCCATAGAGGATTGTGATTTCAATTGCTATAATTTTTTGTCAAGAAGGAGATCTCCGCACAATCCAAATTAATTCTCTTGATCATAAAATATTTACTCAATAATTGAATGCCTTAATACCATCATAATTAAGTGATCATAAACACATTAAATTCATCTCATAGAGACCCTCAATCTGACTATAAGCATGTCAAATTTAAAAATCATTTAATCATCTAATAAATATTTAAAGTTTTAAATCATACACGAAATACATGATTTTGATCTCATTTAAACTTTAGATTAACCACTTTTAATATCATTAAGTTCATCTTATTGAGAAATTCAATTTCACAATAAATTAATAAAAATCACAATCCAAATTATCCTAAAATTAACTTAAAAAACTTTTAATTTAAATTATCTCGAGAGGTCCATGCCAATTGTTCCTAATGATCTCCTTCTCTCCATCCTTTACTTCTAATCAAATGATTCAACAATTCTCTCACATTTGAGCCATTTCGCGTGACCATCGGGATTAAAAATGTGCTACATTATACAGTAATTTTCTCTTAAAAAAAACCCTAATGGCACCGTCTTCTACCTTTCTGAGACTCGTTCGCACGTTTTCCAATGCATCATTTCGTCATTGCTCCCCACTCCCGCAGTAAATAACTACAAACAAACAAACAAAAGAGACTACTCCAGATATTCCTCTTACACGTAAGGGATACAGTACAGTAAAGTCTACCTGCATCGTTGAGCTCTCACGTTGGCCGGTCAACTTACATAAAATTACCCTCTATCTCTCTGTCTATCTACCCGTCAAACACATAAGTTGCAGAATAAAGAAAGAGGGAGAAGCACGAGGATAGATCGATAGAAAGAAAGATGGACACACCCAGCTCAGTTACACGTACACAACTATCCTTCTTCAAGGTGCCTGCTGGTAAACAAGCTTGCCGACTAACCGCTCCTTAGTTCGCCGGAAACCATCGCGGCTCGGATAGAAGTAGACCGGCAGATACTCCGGCGAACAGCAGGCGAAAATAGAACTCTTGAAATGCTTCAGCAACCCTTCGGAACCCTGTCATATGGTCCATGCAATTCACATGGAATACATTAGTAGCTGGCTTTCAAACAAGCAAAAGGGTAGAAAAAAAAAACAGGAAGGCTCGCCTGTATCTTCGCATGAGTCACCTCGCTAACTTTGCGAGAGCCGTATACGTTCCATGGCTTCTTATGCATCTCTCTATGAAGCCTGCTTGCAGCCACAGTGCTCGTGAAATTGACGAAAGCGTAACCTAAGTTGCTTCCACTCCTGCTCCATAATTCAAATATGTATCTTGAATGGAAAACCTGGCAGGGTTAAAGAGGAGTTGTAGCGAGACTTCATGCACTTACAGGAAGTCCATCGGCAAGTAAAGAAAATCAAACTCGGAAAGCTGTGAATCAGCAGCTGAACCTTCTTCCAAAATCTTCGAGTTTTCCCTCCGACAATGCTCATCCAGCAAGTCTAGTATTTCTTGCTTGCTATCAATATGAAGAATACCATAAATAAACGATCATTCGATAACTTTTATTCAAAATCAGTAAATTGGATTCATATATGCGGCGATAGGATAAGAACCTGAACTTGTTAGGAATGTTTTTAAGCATGACGGTAGTTTTACCAGCTGCCGCCTCTTTAAACTCAAAGTCCGGCGGTGGGGCGACGACTGCGAACGACTTTCTTTCAGAAGAAGAAACCTTGGGTATCCAAAAGAAGCGAGAGCAAGAGCCCTTCTGCGAACTCCGGTTAAGGCGACGGGGGCCTCTCGCAAAACAGCGAGCAGAAAAAGAGACCATCGGAGTAGTTTGGTCATCGAGGCCGCCAAGGCGGTCGCTTTCTTGCAGATCAGATTGTGATAAAAGATGAGGGAGGGGTGGCCGAGGAACGTAGCAGTGGAAATTATGCGAATAAGTATTGGGAGTTGGAGGAACATACGGGGATGGGTGGTAGTAGAAGCAAGTTTGGAGAAATATTGGAGATGGTGGATGATGAGGAAAAAGGGGAACAGTGGTGGCGGTGGCGGTGGCCGGATTGTAAGGGATGGCGTTGGGGTTTAGCTTCTGCATCGCAAGAGACCGGTGAGCGGCGAAGGAAGCGACAGAGTCGGGAATAAGAAGAAGGCGACAGAGAAGATAGATTGACAGGATGAGAGAGAAAGGAAGCGAGAGGGGGAGGGGAATGGAAGTGGAAGAGAGAAAGAATGCCGAATGGGGCC